AAAGAAAGAAAGAAAAGAAAAGAAAAGAAAAAAAAAGAAAGAAAGAAAAAGCTCATGTTGGGGCTGGAGAGATGGCTTGGAGGTTAAGAGCCCTGGCTGCTCTCCAGAGGTCCTGAGTTCAATTCCCAGCAACCACATGGTGGCTCACAACCATCTATAATGAGATCTGGTGCCCTATTCTGGTGTGCAGGCATATATGCAGACAGAACACTATATACATAATAAAGAAATAAATCTTTTTTTAAAAAAAAAGGAAAGGAAAGAAAAAAAAAGTTCATGTTGGACACCACCCGTTTTTTTGTTTTTGTCTCAAAAAACAAAAGAAAAAAGTAGAACAGGGCACGGGGAGCAAGCAGAGAGAACATACTGGAGTGGGGACCCCGGCAGGAAGACCCAGCTGTGTAGGCTTCTCTCAGCCCTGAAGCTGCCCATGAGGTGGGGTCAGCACCACCCCTATTCCACAGGTGGAGTGAGGAGCCAGGAAGGGGTGACACCCACTGCAGTGGAGACTAGTGTTCACTGTGCTGCTGAGACACGCCCTGGCACCCAGGAGTGGGCCTTATTTGACAAAGGGGTCTTAGCTTGTGTGATTAAGGTGTTTGTTTGTTTGTTTTCCCCATGTTGAGGATTGAAGCCCAGGCTTTATGTGTGCCGGGCAAGCACTCTACAGCTGAGCTACACCCCCCAGACCCTCACTGGAGGATTCTAGGCAGGGGCTCTACCACTGAGCCACACCGCAGCCCCTCACTGGGGGATTCTAGGCAGGGGCTCTAACACTGAGCCACACCCCAGCCCCTCACTGGGGGATTCTAGGCAGGGGCTCTACCACTGAGCCACACCCTAGCCCCTCACTGGGGATTCTAGGCAGGGGCTCTACCACTGAGCCACACCCCAGCCCCTCACTGGGGGATTCTAGGCAGAGGATCCACCACTGAGCCACACCCCAGACCCTCACTGGGGGATTCTAGGCAGGGGCTCTACCACTGAGCCACAACCCTGCCCCTCACTGGGGGATTCTAGGCAGGGCCTCTACCACTGAGCCACACCCCAGCCCCTCACTGGGGGATTCTAGGCAGGGGCTCTACCACTGAGCCACACCCCAGCCCCTCACTGGGGGGTTCTAGGCAGGGGCTCTACCACTGAGCCACCCCCTAGCCCCTCACTACAGGACTTTAGGCAGGTGCTCTACCCTTGCCCAAACCCTAACTAGGGGATTCTAGACTAGCATTCTACAGATGAGGAACATCTCCAGCCCTTTTGTAACTTTTTCTTTTGAGACAGTTTCTCACTATGAAGCTCAGACAGGCCTTGAACTTTCCATCCTCTTGCCTCAGTGTTCCATGTGGCTGGGATGATAATCCTACACCACCTGAGAAGTATTATTATTATGGACCCCCATCAAAGAACAAGTATCCTCATCAGCCAAGGGAGGAAGAGTAGAGACAGCAGCCTGTGAAGACAGACAGAGATGAGAATTACATGGCCACAAGCCAAAGGTCACAGGTAGCCCCAGAGTCTGGAAGAGGCAGGGATGGCCCTCTCTAACACCTTCTTAGTGTGGCCCTACCAACATCCTGACTTTCAATTTTAAACTCTAGAATATGGAATATGGCAGTGTGGCATACACCTTTTTTTTTTTTTTTTTTTT